AATACTTTCAAGTAACTGTTTGATCCCCTGCAGAAGCAGGACTAGCTTTTTCCTGCTTGCTACAAGATTTGCTGCTTGCTTGAAAAGTGCTGGACCCTTGACACGGGATTACTCAATTGCAATGCAAACTCACTGTGTACATAGCATTTGTCTGGGTCCATCTTGTTGCCTGAGTAATAATGTTCTTTGTCTCTGACCCAGGAGTCTCATGTCTTCTGCCACCATCCATGAAACAATAAGTGGTTAACTTACTAACTTGCAAGTAGGGCAAAATCTCGGACCCTTCACAGTTCTTGACAAATATTATTAAAATAAATCCAGCACTGTGCAAAAGCACCAAGTTGGGTTTATCTCAAGAATGCAAGTGTGGTTTAAATTGGAAAAAAAATATATAAACAGGTAATTTACCACCTCAATCTATGAAATGAGAAAAATAATATAATCATCTCAATGATGAAGAAAAACATTTAATAAAATTCAGCACTTAAATAAGGATTACTAAAGTAGAAATAGAAGGAAACTTCTAGAAACTAAAAAAATTTTTCACCAAAAATATAGAGTAAATATCATTCTTAATGAAAAAACTTCGAAGTATTTCCTTTAAAATTGGGAATAGAAGCATACCCAGTATTGATTCTTCTATTCAACATTGTACTAAATATCCTAGTCAGTACATTAAAATAAATTAAATATACACACATTTGAAAGAAACAAAACTGTCATTATGATTATCTGCATACAAAACCTAAAAGAATTCACAGACAAATTTTTAGAAAGAATGAGAATTTAGCCAAGAATGAAATAAGATCAATTTTTTAAAAAATTTTATCTCTAAATCCCACCAGCAAATAAGCAGAAAAAGCAAGTTTAAAAATAGAAAAGACAGGGTTTACAATAGGAACCAAAAACGTATAAGGTACCTAGAGACAAATCCAACAAAAGACGTGCTTGACCAGTCAGTGTGCAGAAAGTTATAAAATTTTATGCAAAGACATTAAATAAGAACTAAACAAGTGGAGAGAGCATCTAAATTCATGGACAGGAAGATTCAATATAATTAAGATGTCAATTTTGCTAAATTAATTTAGACATTCAATGCAATTCTGAAGTCCTAACAGCATTTTTAACAAAACTTAACAAGCTGTTTTTTAGTATGAGGAAGATCCAAGACACTCAAACTGCCAAGACACTGTAAAAGAAAAACCTAAGGGGACTTCCCAAAGCAGATATTAAGTCTGAATATAAAACCATAATAACTATGATAAATTAGTAACTAGCACAAGATTAGACAAATTGATTACTGGATATACAGAATGGAGATCCCAAAAAAAGACCGAGAGACATAGCTGATATATGAGAGAGGTGATTTTGCTTATCAGTGGAAAAAGAAAAAACTATTCATGAAACGGTGTTGAGACAATTGGTTATTCATAGGGAAAAACAAGATTAGATCTCTCCCAAAATTAGACCCTTCATACCATATTAAAAAATCAATTCCAAATGAATGAAAGAATTAACTATCAAGAGCAAAACTTTACAACTCTTAGGAGATAATACAGGAAAACATAGTTCTGACCTGGAGCGGAGCAGGGTTTAACTAGACATAACATGCACTAATCAGAAAACAAAACAATAAAAATATCAAATCTATTCATTAAAAGATACCAAGAAAGAAAACAAAAAGAAAAGCCACAGGGAGTGGCTCCATGGCTGTCTAGTTAAGTTCACATGCTCAGCTTTGGCAGCCCAGGGTTCACTGGTTCGGATCCTGGGCACAGACCTATGCTCAGCTCATCAAGTCATGCTGTTGTGGCATCCCACATAGAAGAACTACAATTACTTACAACTAGCATATACAACTATGTACTGGGGTTTTGGGGAGCAAAAAAATAGAGGAAGATTGCCAACAGATGTTAGCTTAGGGCCAATCTTCCTCACCAAAAAAAGAAAACAAATGTCACAGAGTGAAAGAAGATATTTACAACATAAAATAGACAAAAGTTAAGCACTCCTACAAATCAGTAAGAAACAAATACTCTGAGTGAAAATGAGCAAAAAACATCAATAGCAATTTTCCAGAAGAAACATGGCCAATACATATGTGAAAAGACACTCAATCTTATTAGCAATTAGGAAAATGCAAATTAAGAGTACAACTAAAAACTATTTCATACTCAATAATGAGGAAAAATTTTAAGATATGACAATACTAAATGTTGAGAAGAAGACAGAAAAATGGAAACGATATTATTTTGGGGAGTCTATTTCAGTACAACTACTTTGTAAAACATCATGGCATTACCTAATAAAGCTAAGGATATAAAGGCCTCTACAACCCAACAATTCCACTCCTCGGGACTCTAATCAAGAGAGACATACAAGGATGTTCACAACTGCATTACTTATAGTAGCAAAAAAAGGAAAAACAACCTAAATATCTACAGAATGAATAAATCACAGCATATTCATAGATCAGAACGCAATACAGCAATGAAATAAACTACAACATAACCAAGTTCAAAAGAAACAAGTCAGAGAAAATGACATTCAGTAGGATTCCATCTATATAAAAGTTAAAACACCTGTAACAGATACATAAATAAGCCCAGTTCTTGTACATAAAAGGTGCTCATCACTACCTGCTGAATGACTGAATGAAAGGTAAAGGATATCTAACACAAAATTCAGGACAATGATAACCTGTGGGGAAAGCAATGAAGAGGTAATCATGAAAAGGCACACAGGAAACTCACAGGGTACAGGGGATGTACACCAACAAGGTGGATTGTGCCTATTTCCCAATAACCTCACCAACAGTTATTTTACCAAATTTTTGGAATTCTTCCAATCTGACAGGTGAAAACTGAGTATAGTTTCAATTTGCATTGTTATGATTATGCATAAGGTTGATTAACTTTCTATATTTAAGAGCCATCTGAATATCCTCTTATATAAACTATTAATACGCTCTCTACTAGGTTACTGTTTTACTTACTGGTTTCCAGAAGCTCATTATGTAACACAGAAATAAGTACTCTGCCTCCTATATGAATGACAATTAGATTTTCAAAGTGTATTTTTTAAAAAGGTACTGAGAATGTTGGGTAATGGGTGTATACTTATTCATTTTATTTTCTTTAAAATTTATGTTGTTCTTCTTTTATATTATATTTCACACAAAAAAAATCTACAAGTAAAAGAATCTTCTACTGCCATGGTCCATTTTATTTTAAGAGAGAGAAGTCGTTCTTGTAAAAAAACTAGAAATTTTCAATTATTGAAGTTCTAAATTTTTTATGACTTGGGACCATCAATGTTTAATGCCTGAGGACAACCCTTTGGCCCATATGTCAGAGAAGATATTGCCTTAATATGAATTCTAAATTATTTAAAACTATGTTATTATATGTTAAACAAAAAATATGTTATTATAATTAGTATGAAAGTGTGAATTTGATATTTCATGAATCTAAGATTATAAAAAATGACAACCATCCTATAATTTTTTTTAATAGAAAGGAACAGACCTACACCCACTCCAACTCTAGCTGGATGGCAGTTTCAACTATAAGAGTAAGATTTAACATATAGAGAATAAGGTGAAATGTCCCAACAGTTAAATTTCAAATGCCTTAGGTTAAGGTTCAAGAAAATTCTTTAGATATAAGTATCCCCTGTCCACTTCATACATGATTTAAAAAAATCAATAAAATCTTAGAGAACCTAAAAACACAAGACTTAGATCATTCACATAATTATCCAATTTACAAAGGGTTAAATATATAAGGAAGCCTAGTATCATTTCAGTCATTTCAACCAAAGTCAGCATTCTTTATATTCTTCTTCGAGCTTCGATCTTAATGTTCCATGATACGATATAAACAAAGGCAAATAGAATATGTTCACAAAGACTCAAATAGTCTTTGAACAAGGAAATAAAATATATGAAGGTGTATACTTTACAAGGCTTTGATTAATGTTCATTCCTCACGAACACAGAATAAAATGTTTAAGCAATATAGGACATCTGTATTTATTCCTCTGAATTCAAAATAAACCTTTCTTCCTATGCTATGCCATAAGAGAAAATTATACAAATTTCAATATTTATATGAATTGAGTATGACTTTCATCTCAAACTGAGATAAGATCGTCAGAGGAGCCTGCATTTTGAATTAATACATTTTATTTAGAATACTGGTATACTTGGTTTTATTGTACTTTGAAGATACTTTGCTTTTTTACAAGATACTCCACTGGCAAAAAGATTACAACTTGCTGAAGGCTCAGATGATGGTTAGCATTTTTTGGCAATAAAATATTTTTTAATTAAGGTATGTACACTGTTTTTTAGACATAATGCTATTGCACACTTACTAAACTACAGTATAAACATAATTTTTATGTGCACTGGGAAACCAAAATATTCTTGTGACTCACTTTATTGTGATATTCGCCTTATTCTGTGGTCGGGAACCAAACTGGCAATACCTCCAAGGTATGCCCACAATTATACTTATTTGGTATAATTCATTTTTACTGTTATAATGTTTCCCCTCCTATAATCATATAATACGTCAATGCTATTTTATCTACTCTATCAAAACCTGAGATGAGACATTCTGGCTAAGGTTAAGGTTTATTCTATTAAATCATTCTTTTTTTTAAAAAAAAAAAAAGGACGACAATGAAAAAAATTACAGTGTTAATTTAAAATACTTCCTCTAAGGAATTTCAGAGTTTTATAGAAAATCAAAGGTAAAATACAAAAACAAAACACAAAAATGTCCTCATACAAATTTGTTAAAATGATAGCAGCATGTTGAAATCTTGAAGCTCAATTTGATACTGAAGAACACATTTCTTTCAAGAGAAAGCAGAGTCACATTCTCAAAATTATACTAAAACTTGACCTATATTGCACCCAAAATGGTCTTTAAAACGCTAGAACAACTCAACACTGAGTGTTAATACCATTGTTTTTTTTAAAAATCACTCACCTTTCAAACCTAGAGTTTGTAGCTGGAAGAGCCGACCAAGTTCATAAGGCAAAACCCGTAACAGATTGTTATTTAAAAGCAATTCCCTGTTCAAAAAAGAATTGTTTTAGTTTAATATAGCAAGCTTTATTAATATCTACAATTGTTTTCTTAACGCTCTAACATATCATGAGCGATGTTTACATTCAAGGCACATTTTTGTACACTCATCCAAAAATGTGAAACATTAAAGTACTACAATATGTGTAATTGCCACAACTGTTAACAGTGTTTCTACGACTTACTCATTCTCTAACACAGATTATTAAAGGTGTAGGAACTGGATATCATTCTCAGGCTAAACCCACCCCCTTTTTCTCTCTCACTCAAATGCCTATCAGATGCAAATCAGAGTGACAGATATTCTTAGTATCCAAAGATAACAGATATCCCTGAACCTAGTCTAGTTCGTATAAAAAAGTAAGTTTTTTTTTTTATGAACTTCAGGATTTAACTATAAGTCAATTGCCTGTATCAATTTTTATCACAGAGCACAACTATAATCACATCAAGACACTATATGAAGAATAATGACTAACAGAGAACATGACCGTTAAAAATAAAGCCCAGGATAATAGATCTAACACAACAGCACAGATATGATCTGAGTTTATGACTATGAAATTCTGGGCAGCCTATAGAAAAAATAAACAGCCCTCTTATTAGACAACTAAAAAGTACTTTAAAAAAAGGAAACCAACAGAAACATACAGTGAGAGGACAGTAAGGAACAAGATTCTAAAACAATATAAATGTTTAATTTTAAACATACGATAGTAATTTTTTTAAATTATTACTCAGCAGATAAATAATACAGAAAAATAACCTTTGTTTGTACTGGAAACATTTATACAAGGTCTTGAGATTCCACAAAATTTTCTCCTATGAAGAAATTCTTAAAGAACCCTGAAGGACTAGAAATAAATCCATTTACTATCAGGTTTTAAAAGGTTTCCTTAAGGATACTTTGCCTTATAAAATAGAGATGTGTTCCTAAAATTTTTCTTATAATCAAATCATATTTTCCCAATTATTTCTGACTAGTCATCACACACTTGAGCCTAAAGCGAGACTCAGTATTTTAGTCCCAACCCACCTCAAGTCTGTCAAAAGAAATTGGTAATACAAGCACACTTCTAGCCAGAAATCTCCAAATTTAAAGGATGGAAAACAAATGTTCAATGAAGGCCACCTCAAGCACTGTGCCTAGACAGTTTATATCATTTGATCTTTAAACACATATGCAAATCCTACTGTAAGATGAGTAACATCCCATAATGTTCTTATTTGGTAAATTTCGAACTTTATATAGTTAAGTCATATCTATAATATTTCCTCACCTGAGAGACACCATGTTTCCTAGTTCTGCTGGTAAACTTCTGAGTTTATTGGATGACAGATCCAGGTAAACCAGATTATGAAGCTTGGCAATATCAGGTGGAATGCGACTAAGGTAATTGTCATTTAGGTGCAGTGCTGTCAAGTGTGTCAATGACCAAAGTGACGTACTTAAGCTCCGCACTCTACCTAAAAGGCAAAATATTGAAGTATTAAACTCTAGGCCCAAGACAAAGGTTGAACTACAAGGAGTAAAAAGTGGTAGAAGAGCCTGCAAATATATGCATATATTCTGTCTTAGACTTTTTAATTTTGTATTTAATCTCATTTGATTGACCCCAAACACATTTGGCCCTTCTTTAATTTCATGCCACTTCTGCCTGACAATCTTTCTCATGGACCCTCCATGTATTAAATGAGAGGTGGCATAATGAGGAGACCAATAGTGTCAAGGTGATGACATGGTCTCAAAGAGAAAGCATGGGGCTGAACTGAGGTTTTTTTGGCAGAGCAATCCTGAATTTTTTTCTTTTGCTGAGGAAGATTCACTATGAGCTAATATCTGTGCCAATCTTCCACTATTTTGTATGTGGGTTGCCACCACAGCATGGATGACAAGTGGTCAAGGTCCACGTCTGGGATCCAAACCCGCAAATTCAGGCTGCCAAAGCAGAGTGCACCAAACTTATCCACTAGGCCACGGGGCCAGTCCCCCGCATTTTTTTTTTAAGTCACAGTCCTAACAAAACTATTTCTTACATACTCCATGAAAATTAATAGTGCAAGGTTTATCCATATCCAGGGCCTGAATTAGTCCACAAACTTTAAAAAGACAAGAGTAATTACTATGATTTAGAACCAACCTTAGATTAGCCACCAGGAAAGCCATTTTTATCCCCAACCAACCATTTCCCTGGTTTTCTGATGTTACAATTACAGATTAACAACTGTGGTTTAAGATTTTTGCATTAACTGCATACTCAAGGAAACAGTCACACATTAAAGCTTTATCAACCACTCAGCATCTGATAGCTATGGTGGAACATGTACTAGACAAAGTCAGAAAATCTGGTTCAGAGTCCTAATTTTTACCATTTATTCGCTATATAAGCCTGAGCAAATCACCTAACCTCAGCTTCTACAAAATGTGATATTATCTCAGCAATTAATTTATACGAAGATTATTTCATAAACTTTACAAAGGTAAAATGGTATTTTAATTACATATCACTTTCCAAACAAAAGATTTTGATTAGAAGAGCTGTGGAAAGTAGAAAGGGCACAAAAATCTCCAAGGGGAAATGTTACTTTTCATATAGCTGTTAAGCAGTAAACTCAAACTTAGATCTGCTGTCCAGGGTTCTTTCTACCAGTGTTCTTTCATGCTGTCTATAATCAGCCTTAAAGTGCCAACTAGGATTTTGCATTTTAATAGGAAACAAAGTTCTCGAGTGAAGAGAGGCTCTGGTAAAAGAAAAACTTATTTCAGTTTTACCCAGGGTTTAACTGAGTGGTTCTCAACCAGGGACAATTTGCTCCCCAAAGGACTTTGACAATCTGGAGACATTTTTGGTTGTCAAAACTAGAGGAATGTTACTAGCATCTAGTGGGTAGAGGGCCAGGGATGCTGCCAAACATCCTACAGTGCACACAACAGCCCCTAACCACACAGAACTGTCTGGCCCTAAGTGTCAGCAGTACAAAGCTGAGAAACCCCAGTTAACCTAATAGGCTTTGCTCATATTCATTCTTTTGATTACGAATCACCTATCCACCCAGTTACCTTTTAGCTAAATGTACAGGTAATTCTTGCTACTGACACTATAACGTGGGTTTAACTCTTCCAAAAGAAAGCCTACTCGGGAAAAAACTACATTCTATATATAATCTGTATCATATCAATTCATAAAAGAAAAACAGTACTTATATTCTATTTTTAATAAAGTTTTAACTTCACAATAATTTTAGAGTTACAGAAAAGTCAGCAAGATAATACAGAGTTCTGTATACCCTTTACCCAGTTTCCCCTAATATTATCATCTTATATTATCATGGCACATTTGTCAAAACTAGGAAAGTAACACTGATACATTACTATTAACTAATTTACAGACTTTATTTGGATTTCACCAGTTTTTACATCTTTTTGTTCCAAGATTCAACTCAAGATGCCGTTTTGCATTTAGTCATCATTGTCTCCTTAGTCTCCTCTGGTATGTGACAGTTTCTCAGCCTTTCATTGTTTTTCACGACCTTGACAATTTTGAGTTAGGTATTTTGCAGAATGTCCTTCAGTTTGCATTTGTCTGATGTTTTTCTCACTATTAGACTGGGGTTATGAGTCTTTAGGACTCATATTCTATTTTAACAAATCCTAAACATGTAAGGTCCCATAACACAGTTATTACTTATTTGTAGAATAAACAGACAGTTTCTAGGTTTCCTACTCTGCCAACACTGGGGTGATAGGAGGATGGCAAAGAATTCAATCTGCAAAAATAATTACTCTGCAACAGCCAAAACAAAACTTATTGTATCAAAGAACCTGCTTTTACTTAGAAACTGAACTCCCAATGTCCTCAATTCCAGACGCCAACTCTGGCTTGAGGTAATAATCTCAAAAGAAAGGATAGAAAAAAAGATATTTAATCACAGATAAAGCAGAAAAATTAAACACTAGTACCTCAGCATCTTGTATTTTCTCAATTCGTTCGTCTAATTAAAAATGTACAAATAAATAAACATAAGAATACTCAACTCTTGTTCATTATTGCTATTACATCCTGGATTAAATGTTTCAGATTCCACTCACCCGAGATTTCTAATTCTGCCCAGTGAGATTTTTTCCCATTGGCTACCTCCTCTGCTGACATGATGGTATAAATTCTGCGAGGATCTGGAGGATCATATTTTTCCTTTGGCATCCCTATTAGTCTGTAAAAAAAAAAAAAAAAAAGATCAACAATTATTACAGTCTTATAGAAAAAAAAGGGATGGTAAGTTTTCTTTTCCTCTCCCCTTACCAGGCTACTAAGTCATTTCATATTACAAATTCTCACTAGAAGAAAAACACATCTGCGGTATGCTAGGCTCTTTCAGGATCTCAGTAACAGATGCCTAAAGGAAAATGCAAACAAGCAATGACACTGGACTTCACAGTGAACATAACTGCTTCTCAAACATCTATTCCACCCCTTCCCCCTCATTTAGCTGCCCTGCTTTCCAAGAGAGACTGACCCTAGACCAGTTTTCTGAATGGACTCTGACTAGTCTAAGACAATCAAGATAATCCTATCCTCCTTGCCTCAGTGGTATTCAGATATCCCATATCTAAGACAATCAGCACTTGACATTTCCCTTGTCGTAGAGATTAGTTCAGAAATATCTAATAATCACGAGGCTTAAGACTCATTCTGAATTTATGGAAGGAGCAGGCTTCTCTCTCCTGCTGGTCACAAATGAAGAATAATATAGACGGGACTGCTGTTGGCAGCCATCCAACAACTATAAAGAAAGTCAGCCATGGAAGTCAGAGTCTAGAAAATAGAGAAACAAAGCCAGAGTCCTCACCAAACCATATCTGTAGCACTCCCAAACAGTGCACTTTTTGGATAGAGAAACCAATATATTTCACTTGTTGTTTAAACTAGTTTGAGTTGTGTTTTCTGTTACTTGCAATCAAAAGCATCCTAATTAGGATGATCATATATCTTGGTTTACATGGACCAGTCTTGGTTTATATCTGTTGTTCTTAGATAATTATTAATATCATTCCTTTTCACTCTCAAAAGTGCCCAACTGGATGATGAGTTACATGGTCATCCTAACTGAAACTAATATTATACAGTCTTCTTCATGAAACTCCAAAATAATCACTGAACAATCATCAGTGACAACCAACTAGACACAGAATTCCTCAACTGTACAATGTATGAAGCAGATGACAAATGGCCCTAAAAGTAACCATTCAAGAGGTCTAGTATAAGAATCACTGCTTGACAATTGGCAGAAAATAAAATCCAGTTCAGATCTAACAAGAATAGCAAATGACAAAGTCCTGAACCTAATTAAACTCCTGCATGCAATCAGTAAATTGCCTCATAGTATCTATAGTTGATTCTTTGCTCATATTTTTACATACATACACACACACACACATCTCAAAACGAAGTGTCTAAATCTGGGAGTGTTTCTAAGGAGAGTTTAGAACTTACATCTCAATGGAAGAGTTACTTTCAGGTGGTCTGAAATTTGTTACATACAGAAAACAAAGAAAAATTAGAGGTATTCTATCATGTATCAAGAAATCAAAGCTAGTTTATAACAGGACAATCAAAAATTCCCACACCATAATTTGGCCTCATATTTCTGAAGGTAAAATAGTCATTCCTTCTCCCTTACTAAAAGGGGTAAAGAGAAAGTTTTCCATATTTGTTATCTTTTGACAGTAATTAGCTTCCAAGTTTCCAGGTTAAGCCCTTCTGCTTTAACCTTATCATACAATTTGGGTGATACTAAACCATATTTCCCATAAACGTCCCAGATCTCCATATAGCACAAATAATATGATCATTTTCCACAGGGAAAAACTTCTTTTCTGCCACATTCAGCCTATGTAAAATACTTCTGAAAATAAAATGCTTAGATAACAAGGTTTCCAAAACTTCTACTGTGCATCATAAGGCACATGTATCTCTGTGGATACTTCTGCCTACTAATATAAGATTCTATAAAAACACAAGCTTAAGCAAAACCAAATCAAACAGATCCAGATTCAAAGACATGCTGAAAATCTATTAACTACAATGAGGACAGGTGAAACACAAAGACTATCAAATTCGCAAAAACATGTTTCATTAATTTTAGACCATTTTTATAAAACACACAGTACAAGATTAGAGGTTAACATAATTTGGCTGTTTTAATCATGGCTCCCACTCAATGGTATGTTCCTTAAGAGGACTCTGAGTTGGGCTGGCCCAGTGGCGCAGTGGTTAAGTTCACACGTTCCACTTCTCGGCGGTCCGGGTTTCGCCACTTTGGATCCCGGGTGTGGACATGAGACTGCTTGGCAAAAGCCATGCTGTGGTAGGCGTCCCACGTATAAAGTAGAGGAAGATGGGCATGGATGTTAGCTCAGGGCCAGTCTTCCTCAGAAAAAAGAGGAGGATTGGCAGTAGTTGGCTCAGGGCTACTCTTCCAAAAAAAAAAATTTATAAAAGGACTATGAGTTACTTTTGTGTGGAGGCATATCCTTTTTACAACTCTATACAGTCCCTACACATAGTACGCACTTAATATGTATTTGTGGAATGAATATATGCTTTATAATCCTAAAATCTACCACTGTCCTCCTATCGTTCCTATCTCACAGCCAATTAATAGCCAATGTTTTCTAAAAATAAATCTCAAGAAATGGTAATTAATCCACACGTTCAACTTTCCTAAATATTTTTAAAGTCTAGATAGATTAATAATTGCCATGTCTTCTGGCCCTCTAATGCTAATCTTAAAACAGCTACTAGACAGAATTACATTTCTTTTTTAAAAATTTTCCATGGGGCCAGCCTACTGGTGCAGCAGTTAAGTTCACACGTTCCGCTTTGGCAGCCCAGGGTTCGCCAGTTTGGATCCTGGTTGCGGACATATGCACCACTTGTCAAGCCATGCTGTGGTAGGCACCCCACATATAAAATAGAGGAAGATGGGCACAGATGTTAGCTCAGGGCCAGTATTCCTCAGCAAAAAGAAGAGGACTGGCAGCAGATGTTAGCTCAGGGATGTCTTCCTCAAAAAAAAAAATTTTCACAAGTTTCCATCTTTGTCAGTCAATTAAAATTTATGGACTCTCTTCCTGCAAGACAGATTCATAAAATGTTTACCAATGTCTATCATATGTAAAAACCGAAGCATTATTAATACTGTCATATTAGGGGTAGGAGGTCTCTTTTGGATTTGATTAGAAAGCCTACAAAAATACAAGTCAATTAATTCTTCAAAATGAACCTAGATTTAGACAATTTGATTGAAGCCAAAACATTTTTCATTCGGGTTAACTAAGTAATTCAGCAGAGTCTACAGTTTGGGTGATCACTACCGTCCCAGATTTTCAAATGTGCTACTAAAAACGTAGAGAACTCAAACTTAGTAAATTGGTACTACTGAATCTTCCTATTCAGCTTTATTTCCCCTCTAAGTTCCCCAGCATCAACTTTCCCTTGGAGACATACCACAAAAATCTATTTCAAAATAACTTAAAATATAAAAATAACGATTCAAATGTAATTTAAATCTCTAAATGTGACACCAATAATGTGGTTTCTAATAGCCTCGTATATAGGTCATTCCAAGGCTTAAATACTGAGGGAGAGACACTTTTTTATCCAAGAAATAGAAATGTTTTATTTTGGAAAGCCTAACAGCTAATTCTTTTCCCTATCTTCTTTTTCATACTGATTAAAGAGGCAGGTTTTTTAACTGGTTTTTCCCAAGAGTTTCTAATTTCTACAAATCTTACATCAGTTCCCAAAGGATCCTCCCATTACTTCAACCTAATTTATACTGAGGTTCTGTGATCACAAAGTAACAAAGTAAACTAAAAGCCCCTTCCCAATACAACCTTTTTAACTTCCCAGTCTTCAACTCCATTTAGACACTATGAAAAATACTCCACATAGCCCCGTCAAATACCAGCTACATAAACTTCTTTGAATCTGCCATCACTCTCTCCATTCCTTGGACCACAGCATATCATCTATGCAGCCCTCTCAGATTCCTTTTTTCTCTTTTTCCGGTGAGGAAGATTGACCCTGAGCTAACATCTGCTGCCAATCTTCCTCTTTTTGCTTGAGGAAGACTGTCCCTGAGCTAATATCTGTGCCAATCTTCCTCTGTTTTTTTGTATGTGGGAAGCTGCCATAGCATGGTTTGATGAGCCATGTGTAGGCCCATGCCCAGATCCGAACCCATGAACCCCAGGCCACCAAAGCAAAGCACACAAACTTAACCACTATGCTACTGGGCCAGACCCAGCCCTCTCAGATTCTAATGCAAAATTTCTGAGAATAGCTGCAGTTCAAAAAATCTGAGTATCTCCTACTTCTTAGTTCCTACATAAACTATCCGTAAAGTAAACAAGTTTTAATCTCCATCACTGAAGGCTGATTAATCACTACCACACAGTAAAGATTTTCATTAGTTTATTTCTCAGACAGTCTTCTGTTCTACTAAGCAAAAGCTTCAGGTGAACTTGTAAAATACTGACTTCATGGAAAATTCATTCCAATTTTTTTTTAATTTTTAAAAACTTACAAGCAATATCATATGTAACACTAGGGCTACTCTGCCCTAGGAAAATTTAAATTGGAGTTTCCAAAATTGTCAATAAGATACAAGACACCTATATAACATGCTGTTTCTATGAACAGCACATTACAAAATATGTATGAAATACACCCAAATATACTATTTGTAAGGAATCCCAAATCTCAGGTTTTATAACTGAGGCTAGGAGAATAACATAGCATAACTGCACCCCCCACACACACACATACCAAAAAAAAATCTCAGCCAAATCACAGTAAAGCATTAAAGGCTAGAACTAAACTTCTGTTAATATTGGTCATCTGGAGCACTTAAAAGAAAACAGTAGGCTCTACAGTGCGTATAAAGATATAAGTCCTTATGGTGTTCAACCACAGCTTCCTTCTCACCACTCTGTCTAAATTTAAGGTCATTTTCTATCAGTCAATAGTTCAGCACAATTAATATTACTACATTTAGAATTCAGACTAAGAAAGAGAGAATGCCACAACCACCAAAGAGTGCTTCATAATGAATCAGAGATTTCTAACTCAATGAATCTAACCCTAAAATACAAACCATTAGACATGCACTTATGTCCATAGAAATACTAAGTGATCATCTCAATAGTA